TCCAGAATGAAGCGGACATTGGACTCATGTCTTTGAAAGTCCTGCAGACGATACAAACAGCTGGGGTCACACAGGCCTCTGCATTCCTCCTCTCCTGGCTCCCAGCCCACTCCTCTGTCCCCCAGACTACCTTCTTCTCACTGCCCTCCATCTCCCCCTTGTCCTCTCTCTTCCACTCCTCTCTACTTCTGTCTCTTCCCGTCTGGGGCCTGGGCCTCCTCTGAGAAGGGTTCAGGGAAGTACATGATGGTCGCTGGGTGGTGAGTCTGGATTGGAGTCCCTCTGCCAGCATCTGGCTGTGACCTCTTGAGCAAATTGCTCTGTGGGCTGACTTTCCCCTCATGTATGAAGGGGGATATGGTATGCCCTGTCTGCTCACAGCAGCCTCCAAGGGTCCCTGGGGGCCCTGGGAGCTGCTGTGCTATGGAGTGGGCAAGAGGCCAGGGAGGGCCCTGCTGGGAGGTCCTGTCCTCCCTGCAGGCAGCCACTTTCCCTCCCATGAAGCCCTGAGTCCTGACCTCTCGTGTTTCTTCTGCCTATGGAATGTTCCCCAGTGAAGGCAATGACAAAGTCATACCATTCAAAATTTCAAGAAAGCCCTCTGTCTGATCAAGTCCTTCCTGGTGTTATTTTAATAAGGACCATGGTGACATTTTACCAAGATGGGGTGAGAGGAGAGAGAGGCAGGGTCAGAGACAGACAGCACAGGCCTGTCTGGGGAAGAGGCGGCTGCAGGTCTCATAGGACCTACAGGACTAGCACCTAAGGTCATAGGGGTTGAGGTCACGTGGTAGTGCTGAGTCGGGGCTGGCACTGACCCTATGGCATACCCCCTCCCAAGTGTCCTTGCCCAGACTGATCAGCCTGCTATGTAAGCCCGGCAACACCTCAGCCTTCGTGGTATTGAGGTGGCTCTGAGGGAACAGGCCCTAGGCCAGCCCGCCTACCTCAGCAACATCCCATCAGGTATGAGTACGGGGAGGGGAGACCATGGGGATTGGGGGGCCCACGGGCACTGGGTCTGCCCCAGGCATGGTAGTGGGGCCCAGATTGAGACCCCTCAGGCATGAGGATTCGGTCATTGCTGTGGTGAGGCTGCGAACCTCACACCTCAGGCTGGTCGGCCAAGGGTTAGGGCCACAGCAGGAGCCCATTGGCCCTCAAAAGGGATGGAATGGAGCCTTGTATGCAACAGAGCTGTCACCCACAGGCCCTCTGGCCTTCACTCCTCATTTTCCAAACCTGGAGGCCAGGAGTGGTAATGACCAAATGCCACAGTGGGCACACACAGCATCCAGACTTGGGGCCTCCCCTGCCCCAGCTCTGGCCTCAGTCTACACTCCCCACCCCGGACCTGTCAACCCAGTGGGGTGAGGGACGGGGTGAGGGTGTCCGCTCCACACTGACTGGGTGATGGTTTATTCTGTCAGCTGGAACGGCAGTGTTAGTGCTTCAGGCTGAGTGGCAATGTCCGGGTCCCTCGGCTCACCTTCTCCACAGTGTCTGTGCCCCTCCCCTGCCCTGCAGAGGGTGGGCTGCTGGCTGGGGTTGGAGGTGGGACCCCTGGAGCTTGGGCTAAAGCTGTCCTCTTCCTTCATGACCTCTTTGATGTAGATGTACAGGTCCTTCCCTTCTAGGAGTCTCCGCACAGAAACATACTCATTTCACCAGCACACAGTACTTGCTATAAAAGGTAAGAAACAGAGAGAGATACTGGGGGCCATTGCCACAGCCCTCCCCCTCTCCTCCATGGCCAACCTGGAATAAATGCCTCCCTCACTCCCAGCCAGGGAGGAAAGACTCAGGGGCCCTTGATCAGATTCCTCCAGTGCTCAGTCAGTCAACTACTTCCTGGAGACTAAGACAGAATGTTGAATCTGTGAAGAAGCCAGTTATTTCTGTGTTTCTCAACATCAAAGCACTTGTGTGCCAGAGAAATCTGGAAGGATTCAGTGCTGTGGGTTATGGCTTCCACAGCTATTCACATCCTCATTTGCCTTGAGCCTAACTGACCTCACACCCGCCAGCTGTGTTTAACACTTTCATAGACAAAGTGACTACTACAAAGAAAGATAAACTGACAGGCTACTTTGTCTAACTTCTAATATGAAAATCTCTACAAAGGCAACCAGTCACAGGGAGCAAGATTGCCTCTCAGTTACTGTAATCACGGTTTCTCACTATTCACACTCACTGTGCCAAGTGGACTCTCAAATATCTCCATTTGGCCACCTCCAAGGCCTGGAATAGCAGTTTAGCCAGGAAGTCTTTCAGGATGGAATAGGGCACGAAGGGAAATTCAAAATAGATCCCATGAACCTTCTGGGTTCTATCAACCATGGCCGTGGGGAAAAAATAAATAAATACTGTGGCTGTCTCGTGAGCCAGGAAGAAGGGGATGGATATCAAGAGCAGTCTTCATACTGGTTACCGAATTTCTCCTTGGTTATACATTTCCTTGCAGGCAGAGATCATGTCCTCTCCATCCGTTGCATGCCCATGTGAAGCTATGTAAAATCATGCAACCCATCCAGGGACATATATGGGCGCTATAGCAAGAAGGAGCCTAGGAGAGCCCCCAAACCAAACCTCCACTACCATTCTACTGCTGCTTGGATCCCACTCTAATGCATCTGTGAAAGGTTTGCAGATGTGCTCTTGAAGATGTCCGCCTCTGGGGTCAGGGAGGGTATCTGTGAGGACCTTTGCAGCATTCTGCTCCCGTGTCTCTGCAAGGCAGCATTTGCATGCCACAGCTGCTCCACTTTACCCTGCTGTGGACACGTGGAAATCATGGCACTCAGGCAGAGAAGCATGAGCACAGCTTGTAGGAGTGAGCATACCCAGGGGAGCATATACACCCATACTTTACAAATACCTTCAGTGTGCTTCTTAGTTTTCCCTGGCCCCCATTTCCAGGACAGATGAGAGCCCCTGCCATAGTGTTCTGTCCTGAAGAAATAACAGCTTTCTCTTTGGCTCCAGACTACAGAGTTCTCTTCAAAGACACGGAGCTCTGCTGGAACAGCTTCGCAATACCAACATGACCTTATTTCTATTTCCCTGCTAGACCAAGGTCTAGAAAGAACTTCCGCTCCATGTGTATACCATATTTAGTCTCCGCTTGTGAAACTATTTTCTCTGAGAGGGCTTTAACTTTCCCCTTCCCTCCTTCAGTCACCATCTGGAGGACACACTCTACCATCCTGGTCCCCACACCTCTCTCACTGCAAGCTATTTCCATGTCAATCTAAGGACAAATGTTCACAACTTTAAAACAATTGTGTTAATATTAATAGATCCATCATTCATCCTTACTAATCTGGCCTCAGGAAGACAAGTGACAGTGTCAATCCATTTAGAAGGGGGAAGGTAGTTGCCATTAAGTTCTTCCAATTATAGTTTAGGGGACATTGAAATGACCAGAGACACACACAGGTAGAGGGATTACCATAAGAAGGATGACTCGAAAACACTAGGAGAATTCAATCCTGAGAGGGGAATATGCCATTGAAAAGCCATTTAAGCATGACAGAAAGGAGAAAAAGAAAGGGATGTCACAGATTTTGAGCACCTGATAGGTGCTAAACCCTCTGCAGGCCCTTTTCCTTTTAGGCTCTCCTTAGATCTCCACGACATCACAAGGATCAGCTGTGTACTGACGCTAAAGCTGTGCTCAAAGTCACAGCTAATAAGGGAGGAGCCAGGGGTTCAAACCCAGGTCCACATGACTCTGTTCCAGTCAAATTCTCTGTGTGCAGGGGAGAACTAGCAAAAGTAAAAGGGAGGTATGCCGAAAGTATCCTTGGTAAGAAATGAAGAACTGAGACTGGGAACACCAAGAACAGAAGCTGATGAGAAGGTGGGACTTCTTGCAGACTAGAACTGCAAGGTGGCTTGGATTTCAAGACAGCTCCAGGAACCTCACTGACAAGTAAATGCCCTGTCTTTTCATTCTCCTGCTCACGCAGGTGCCAGATGGAGCCATAATCTGACTTCTTCAGCTGGCTCAGAGTTTCTGATTACCCCAAACTTTCATCCCTCTACCTTGTATCTTCAGCTAGAAGGACAACATTAAACAATACAAAATAAAAGTCATTACTATTTCACTTCACTGGGGGTGGTCATTAGGGATCTCATTATTCCAGAAGCTGCACCAGCTACATTACACTCTGTCTCCTGTCTCCCCTCCCATTTGCATCCTCCTGAGCTCTCACGCCGGTGTGGGACCCCAACAGCTACTTATCACCATTTACCCGTCCACGTCCGAGGAACACTGCCCGCCAGCAACTCCTGCTCAACTCGCACTCATGCCCCGGCGTCCTCTTTACCGGCCTGCTCCGCCTTGACTCCCCAGCAGCGCGCAGCCGCTGACCCACAGTGGGCCTCTGGGGTCAGCGTGCCAAGATTGGGATCCCACGCTGTGGCCCTTGCTGAGGTCCTACCTCCTAAGCCCTCAGCTGCCGCACCTGTGAAATGGAGTTGGGTCAATAGCTGCTCACCCCAGCGCCTGTGGAAGGAAAACGTACAGAGCGACGGCAGGAGACAGTCCCCCCCCCTCCGGGTTCTGAAGACCGCCAGAAAGGTCCAGTTTTGAGAGCGCTAGCCGGCCCGAGACCAAGTTAAGGCCAACCCTGACAGGCAAAACCCGTTCGATTTCCAGGCGCCCCTGACAGTTTAATGAAGGCCCCTTCGCGATTCTCGCCGTGTGGCCCTGCCTTCTCCTCATTGGCCCTCTCCGAGCTGTCAATCAGACACTGGCGGGGTTCCGCCCCCTGCGGGTTCCTGACGTTTTCCCCCGGGCTGCTTCGCCCGCCCCCTTTTGCCAAGCGTCGCTCTGCCGCGCGCACAGCTCACTGACCTCTGCGCATGCAGGACAATGCCTCCCTGTCCAGCCAAGCCCTGACACGAAAACCCTTTGTTCCTGTCCAGATGCCTCCCCTCCCAGTCAGCTGCCTGGGCCTGCTGGGCGGCGGACAAACGATGGCAGCCTCTGGCTCTCCCACCACAGCTAAGATTTGGACGCAGGAGGAAAACGGGGGACCCGCAGGAGGACTGCAACGTCAGTCACCGGTGTCCGCAGCTCTGCGCAAGAGGCAGGCTGGAAACTGGATGTAAAAGTGCCCCCAGCTCCTGCCCATCCAGCCGGCCAAACCCGCCTAAGCAGGCGTTTCCCTGAGCCTTCCTCCTCTCCGATGCACGGGGAGCCTGGCGGCTGCCCCAAGTCCCGCTTAGGGCTGTGAAGTAGCGCTTTCTAATCCGTGGTGTCTATACTTTTGGGAAAAAAATCTTCCCTACGGTGAATGTTTTTTTTGCGGAGTTAGTCCAAAATATCTTCTCTGGGCCTATGGAATGTGAACAACTGAACTTATTCTTCTCAGAGCCTTTGTGTACTTCAAAGGATGAAAAGACGCTTCATATAAACCGCCATTATTAACCAAGGGACAGTGGCCATCTACCTGCTCACCCACATCTCACAAACCAGCAAACCGGGGCTTACCACAGTCAGGGGCTTGGCAGAAAGGCAGTTCT